CTTCTCACAGGGGCAGATTAATCAGTCAGCAAAGTACTAATCTGTAGTGTACCATTTCACCTGTTTTTCACCACATAATGTGAAAAATGTGGTAAAAAACAGGTGAAATGGTGCACTACAGATTAATAAGTAAGCACAAGTAAGCCCATGCATACCTTGCTTATTGGGTAATCTGCCCCTGAGTCCTCATACGATTATTATGAGGCTTAGATAAAACAGTCTAATATCTTCAGTGATAACATATCATAAACATTTAAAGCTTTCCCATTTCAATCGACAAACCTAACAAATGAATTATTCCTTACTAAATTACCAGTAGTGGTCCAAAATTTTATGAACCAACTTAGCGGCCATGCTTCCACAAACATCTTTGTTTTTTTTCTTTTCAAGGAGCAAAAAGTAAAGAATCTGAAAACAAAATTAATAAAACCAAACCCATTAACCTGTTGCATTTAGTCGATTCCGACTCAGCAACCCTGCAGGACAGAGTAGAACTGCTCCATAGGATTTCCAAGGAGCAGCTGGTGGATTCAAACTGCTGACCTTTTGGTTAGCAGCTGTAGTTCTTAACCACTGCACCACCACGGCTCCGAATAAAATCAAAGGTATTTAAAATTTCAAAAATACTACTCTTATTTTTCATAAACAGAAAATGGTTGCTGTCTTAGTCATCTAGTGCCACCATCACAGAAATGCCATAAGTGGATGGCTTTAACAAACAGAAATTTATTCTCTCACAGGCTAGTAGGCTAGAAGTCTAAATTCAGGCTGCCAGCTCCGGGGAAGGCTTTCTCTCTCTGTCAGCTCCGGAGGAAGATCCTTGTCATCAATCTTCCCCTGGTCTAGGAGCTTCTCAGCATAGGGACCCCAGGTCCAAAGGACTTGCTCTGCTCCTGGCACTACATTCTTGCTGGTATGAGGTCCCCTTGTCTCTCTGCTAGATTCTCTCCTTTATATCTCAAAAGAGATACAACCTAATCTTGTAGACTGAGTCCTGCCTCATTAACATATCTGCTTCTAATCCTGCCTCTTCAACATCACAGAGGTAGGATTTACAACACAAAGGATAATCACATCTGATAACAAAATGATGGATAATCACACAGTACTGAGAATCATGGCCTAGCCAAGTCAACACACATTTCTGGAGAATACAATTCAATCTCTAACAGTTGCTATGAATTTAATTTACATATGATACCTTCTGGTAACTTTTTCTCTTAGTACAATCTGTGTGCTACATTTTTTATTACCACCTGGAGTAAAATCCTGCTCTGAAAAGTCACAGAAGTTTCCTCTGCCACCACAACTTGCTTCAGAAGAACGATGGCATCACTAGATTTTCTGACTGGCATTCAGCTCTAAATCAATTCAAACAGAAGGTTGAAGCACCACAGAACCACGGCAGTAGCACCTACAGGACCCATATGGATATTTCATGAGAAATTCAGTCTTTCCTTTGGGGGAGCTCCCTGGCTTTTCCACACAGAAACCCCAAGAACCAAGTGTGATAGAAAACAGAAGCAAGGATACACCACTGCCATTGCTTTTACAAGGAACCCTTTTGTTCTGAGGAGGTGAGAAGCTGAGGGGTAGGGTCAAGACCTCTGAATTGCCTTGGTTGGAATTGGTAAACAAAATAGCCTTCCATCACCAAAACTGCATTTTGCTAGAAAATACATTGCTGGCATTCTTCCAAATAGCTTTTCTCTGAACGATGGTTAGCAACACAGCTCTGCAGTCAGTTCTATGTTCTCCCTCCTTTCTACCACAGAATATAGAATAAAAAGCTAGGATCCTTTCTAACATTTTAAACTGGCCAACTACTGCAAATCCCACAGCATGCCACAGAGTGCTTGTATACTTGCCCACTGCCACACAAACCCACCTAGAAGGCAGGATGGGAAACTTTAAGCTATCATACCTTTAAGAAGCCCCCATTAAAAAAAACCCGTTGCCATCAAGTCGATTCCAACTCATAGCTACCCTACAGGACAGAGTAGAACTGCCTCATAGGGTTTCCAAAGTTGTAAATCTTTATGGAAGCAGATGGCCAAATCTTTCTCCCTTGGGGTAGATGGTGGGTTTGAACTGCTGACTTTTCAGTTAGCAGCTGAGTGCTTAACCACTGCACCACCAGGGCTCCTTTAAGAAGCAGCAAACCCAAAAACCAAACCCTTTGCCATCGAGTCGATTCTGACTCATAGCAACCCTAAAGGATAGTGTAGAACAGCCCCGAAGGGTTTCCAAGGAGCAGCTGGTAGATTTAAGTTCCTGACATTTAGGTTAGCAGCCACAACTTAATCACTGTGCCACCAGGGCTCCTTAAGAAGCCCAGTAAATATAAATTTTCTAAGGTTTTTTCACTACCAGGAGACTTACTTTTCATTTCCTATGGTTCTTATACTTTTCCCACTCAAATCCTTTCCACATTTAGTCTTTCACACTTTTCTTTCCCCTCGAGTAGCTAGAATATATTTCTGAGAATCCTTAATTCATTTCTGTAACACATTTTTTTTTCCCCATGGTAGTTTACTTTCTTCTTCTGCTTTGTTAATGGTCTCTTCTCTTCTTTGTTACCACAGTTTCATCCTTTTCCCTGACTCCCATTTCAATAGAGAAGGTGGAAGTACATAAATAAAACAAAGGGATAAAACTGAAGCTAAAGAAAAACACTAAGAGACATAGAATACGTTCTGCAATACTCTCAATTCATGCGGAAATTGGAAAATAAACTAAAGTCTACCACCAGTGGATCAAAATACCATTTCCCAATGATGGCTAACACTTTTTATCAAGGCAATTTGGTAAATAGCCTATAAAGATAACTTATTATCATAAATAAAGTCTGGAAAACTTAATAATAAATACTACAATATACTCTATTACCTTCATCTTCCATCTGTTCTCTTCTGAACACAGTGTGTGTTTTTTTAATGCATTAAATTTATAGTCCACATTTTTTCCAGTTCTTTGTTTTTTTAATGCACTAAATTTACAGTCCACATTTCTTTCCTGTTCTTTCATCATTTGCAACTTTATCTCCTTTTCTAAATCTTTTTCCTCCTTCAAGACTTAGATTAGCTCCTTCTGAACACGTCCCCTGACACCCAAGTTGGGCTAAAATTTACTCGCAGGTACTCACCCCACTACATTAATATAATCTATTTTCTGCATTTGTTCTCCCACAGACAGGCAGGGCTTTATCTTGGCCATCGCTCTATCCCAGGCTTTGTGGTGGCCAATATAAAGTCCATTAATTCATATTCTTTCTCCGTTATTTCATCAGACACTTTTAGCTGGATACTTCACCAACAACTCATGTAAAATATATCCACAATTAAACTCATCATCTTCCTCTTGATTTTCATCCTTTAGCACCATTCCTTTTGTCATGCAAGCTCAACCCTCAGAGACATTTATAACATTTTCCTTTGCCTTGATCTCTTCATAAAAACAGCTTCCAAATTCTGCTGCTCTACTGTTCGAGTGTATCTCATATCCGCCTTCACATCCTATTTCCACCATCGCCATCTTACTTCAGAATCTTGTTATTTATCTAAAGTCAACTATGCGATGACTTCCCAACAATTTCCTCTGTGGCTATCTCTATGTGCTTCAATCCATCCAGCAGGTGCCATCTGGAGGCACCTCCTGAAGAACTGTTCTAATCATGTCACCAGCTTTCCCCCAAACTTTAAGGCCCCAATGATCCCATGAACTATGTATAAATGCCTCTGCTTGATCTTCAAACCTTTCACAGCAATTTTCATCTAAACTTGAAGGCATGGGACAGAATTGAGAAAAGGTCTAGTCTTAACACAAGCATGTAGCACAGTGTCTACCATGCAGCAGATTCTCAATAAATCATTCCTAAAATGGTGGAAAGGAATGCTTGGGTATTATACAAATGATATCATGCCACTCTCTTGCATAAAAAACTATGGATTTCCATAGTCTACAAGACAGAGTACCAACTTCTGAGCATGACTTGGTTCTCATACACCTCTCTCATCCTTCTCCTGCCACTCTTCCTTGGGCATTCTGCATTCCAGCCTTATGGAATCACTTGCTTCCTTTAATACAGGGCCTTTGTGTACAGCTCCTCCTGCATATAATCTCCTTCTGATTCTTTGTATGCCTCCTACCGGTCCTTCATGATTAAGTTCAGAAACCTTCCATGACTCATCCTATCCTGGGTTAGCATAACTCTACCATTAACACTTACTACACCTGTCTACTTCTCTCTATCCTCCATTCTATGAGTACTGGGACAAGCCTTCTTCCTGTTTTATTCCCTGGGGTTCACCACACTACTGGTACCTAATCAAATCTGGTGAGTTGTTTTCTCTTTTACTGACTCTGCTACCAACTAGTTCTATGTATTTGGACAAACTACTGAACTGACTGGTTTAATTTTCCACTCAGGCCCATTGGTCTCTACACTGTGTTCCATCCAAACTAGAAACCTTACATTTTCTAAATTTCATGTTGTTTCCAATGCCATTCTCAATTTTTAATTGTTGAAATTTCTCCTATCTCTCAACACACATATGAAAAAAAAAAAAACTGTACTATAATGTTTTTGCTTGTCTAATTTCTGAAAGCTTCTGATCTGATAGTACTTAGTAAGACTTCCTCACAATAAATTTTGTCAAAGATTAGTTATTTAAATAGTCACTTATTCCATATATTATATAATGTAAACTCCTTTACAGTAAGGGCCATGCTTTATTTGTCCTTCTATCTTCTCAGTAACATCATTCCCAGCACAGAAAATACTCAGCGTGTGATAAATTAACAACCACATGTGTTGCAATGAACACCAAAACACAGTGCAACGGAACTTTAACATCAAAACTGTGGGCTTATGCAGAAGAATCTTTCACTCCATATATAGGAAAGAATATATAATTTTATAACCACTGTAATACTGAGATGTAACTTTCTTTTCTTGCTTACCTGCAACTCTCTCCTTCAGCCCTAACCCTTCAACTTACTTTATGTTCTCATTTGCAGGTACTTCTGGCAGTTGCACGGTAATCATGCCATCCAAGTTGGTCTTCCCAATGAAGGCAGGCTTAGTACGTAGTACATCCGGGGCGGTCTTCGCGGTGACCCTGTGCTGAAGCCCACCAGCGCTGTTCCCACGATTTGTCAGCACGAACGAATATGATTTCTCAGGCTTCAGGTTGACAATTAACTTCTGTGTGGCTCGGCCATCCACCTCTTCTACCATTTTTCCATCATCATAAAGAATCTAGAGAGATACAACCAATCAAAGGGATCTGATTATCAAAAAGGTAAAATATATTTTCTAAACTAATACGCACTTGCTAATAAAAAGTACCTGTGAGATCCATTTGAATTTTGGGTGATTCCTAAGCCTGGTGGCACAGTGGTTAAGAGCTCAGCTGCTAATCAAAAAGGTCAACAGTTTGAATCCACCAGCTCCTTCTTGGAAACCCTATGGGGTAGTTCTACTCTGTCCTATAGGGTTGCTATAAGTCAGAATCGATTCGACAGCACCAAGTTTGGTTTTTGGGCCTAACCCATAAGTGTTCACAATTGTAGAGATTACATCAATTTTCCTTTAAGTTCTTACTATGTCATTACATAATGTTTCTAAGTCTATCTAAATGCACAATAAAGAAACGTGCAATCGTTTTACAATATGTGGCCTGTCAGTCATATGTGATCTTAATGGAGTGTATGCAAAAAATGTTCCAGATTTTTAAAATGTTATTCGCAGCACGTTTTTTTCAGTGGTTTCCATGCCTGTTCCTAAATATATTTTTACTTTCAAAAACGTTTCTATACTCATTTCATAAATTTGTACTTCTTGCTAACGTCTCTCAATGGCAAACCAGAGCTTAAAATGTGCAAAAAATTCAGGCCAAGACACAAATTCAAATACTCTCAGGATACTGCATTATAAATAGGTAGGAACCATCTAAGTTTCATTCTCTGGTGGATAAACAAAAGCACTTTGCTTAGATTTAAGGAGTGCAAGTTGGAAGTACTAGGTAACCCACAAGTAACACCAGCCTTGGGTTTAACCCCCTGCCCCTCACGAGAGTGGGAAGGTCACACTGCCAAAGCCCCAAACTCAATCTCTTACATGAAAGCTACTAATGAGAACAGCCAGCACGTTTGGCCAAATCAAAGCCATCTGCAAGCCTTGCAAATAACTTACCCAGCTGAACCACCCCCTCCACTTTTACCCATGATATCTTGCAAATTAGAAAAGAACTTACTTTGAAAGGCATGGCAGAATTATAATTCTCTGGAATCTCCCAAGACAGCAACACTGAAGTCTTCATTACTGCTTTGACATGAAAATTTTTTGCAAACACTGCTGGAAAAGGAAAAACAGTGTATTGAAACTATTTCTAAAGACGTACAACCTGTCCTTCTCCATTATGGACCATAGGATTTAAGCTAGACGCTGTCTGCTTTGAGCAGAGAGAGAAGTGTGATTTGCCTACCTGGTTAGAGCATTCATTTTAACGCCCCATTCTTAAGATCTCTCCTTTCTCTCCATTCAGTCAACTACACTGTGTTTTCCTTACCTGAAGGCATTGGGTGCTGTCAGCCAGACTTGCTTGGCATTCTAAAACTGAAATCTAAGGCATCCAAAACGTATTAGGGTTTACATACTTTACCTTTTCGCTTTTGCTGAACCTATCAATATGAATGGTCCGATCAGTTATTTATAGCTTCAACATACTGATTTCCAAAGCCCGACATTCCTTTAAAGGAGGAAGGCCAGAAGCAGACAAATCCTACCTTGATCCACAGGCAGTGTCCTGAACTGGACACTGGGACTATATGGCCCGGGCCCTTTGCTCGTGTGAGCACGTACTTTTACATCATATGTGGTATCTGGTTTTAAGCCACTGAGTGTCATAGTGGTGTCAGCTGGAACAATAAGCTGCTCCACTGGAAGAAGTGGGATGTTGATATCCCTATAGAGAAGTGTATACTTGGTGATAACGCCATTTCTCTCTGCCAGGACAGGTGGCTGCCAAGATAACTGGACGGAGGTTGAAGTGGTGCCATCCGAGTGGAGGTTTTGAGGGAATCCAGTTGGGACCTCTTCTGGAACCGAAATCTCCTTCACCATCTCCTCCCCAAAGCCCACTTTGTTTCTGGCTGAGAGCCTGAAGATGTACGATGCTCCCTTGTGGATGTCTGTAGCTGTAAAATGATCTTCCTTCTCAGAGAACTCAAGAGTTGTGAGTGGCTCTACATCCTTGCGGCCAAATTTGAGCCGGTAGCCCTGAAGGGGTCCAAAGGTGTCCACAGGGGGGTGCCACTGAATGAGGGCAGTATTCATCTGAGTGTGGTTGATCACGAGCCGGGGTTTCCCTGGAACTGAAGCACACGGGAAGGAGTGGTCAGGCTAACTGGTACAAACGTTCACGGTTCCGCCAGCAATGGCCATTAAACTGGCAGGCCCATTTCTTTGTTTATTAAAAAAAAAAAAAAAAAAAATCCCGAGTCCCAAGGCTTCATCTATATAACAACAACAACAAAAAAAACTCAAACCAGTTGCCACTGAGTCAATTTTCATTCACGGCAACCCCATGCATTTGAGTCTGGAAATATGCTTCCTCCTTTATTCTACTAAGGGAGACTGAGACATTAAAATATGATGTTGTTAGCTGGCACTGAGTCAACTCTCGACTCACGGCAACCCCATGCACAAAAGAACAAAACATGGCCTAGTCCTGTGTAATCCCCATGATCAGTTATGGATCAGACCATTGTGATCTATACGGTTTTCATTGGCTGATTTTTGGAAGTAGATCACCAGGCCTCTGTTCCTAGTCCATCTTAGTCTGGAAGCTCCACTGAAACCTGTTCACCATCATAGCAACATGCAAGCCTCCACTGATGTATGATGGCTGCCTGTGAGGTGCACTGGCCAGAAATCAAACTGGGGTCTCCCACATGGAAGGCAAGAATTTTACCACTAAACCTCCAATGACACGTAATAGGAATTCTTATTGAAACAATAATTTAAAGGTATTGTTTAATATCTTCACATGCAAATCTTACATATAAAGGTTCAATCCACAGAGAAATGAATCTGAGTAAGGATTAGTCAATTAGATACAACTAATAAGAATGATAATTATAACAAACAATGTAGCAGGTGCTGGGCTAAGAGCATTACGGATAGTCTGTCATTTGATTTATATTCCTCACTCCTCACTGTACTATCAGATTAGCTATTATCATCATCTCTGTTTTAGATAATAAGAAAATGAGACCCAGAGAGGTATGAAACTGTCCACGGTCAATTGTCTAATAAGTGAGAAAGCTGTAAGACAAACCACGTGTGCCTGAATCCATAGCTCAAATATTTAACTATACTTTCCTGTTGCTTCAAAGTTAAAGAACTGTCCAAAATAAATAGCTTGGACTTACTGTGCATCTACTTTGCACCTTTTGTCTATACCATCCATACCAGTCATCCTCATCAAGTTCTTCATCTGTAAAATGGGGCTCACGTGAAGATCTACCTCACGTTGCTGTTGTGAGTATTAAATGATGCAATGCATGTAAAAGTTTTAGCACGATGCTTTATATTCCATTAACATTAACCATAAGTTTGAATAATCAGAATACTAAGCTTTTTGTTGTCAGGGTTGTTTCTGATGAATATAGAATTATTTATTGAAAGTTAGACATGTTCGATATACTTGTGAAGAGTTCTAATCTACTTATTCAATGCCTTACTCCATCTGCCATGTTTTAAAGACGGGGAGCAATTGTTTCAGGAATCCAGAGAGCAAGGCACTCATATATAATACAGAGCCAGGGATTTCTCTGGGAAGGGGAGAGACAGGGCAAGAGAAGAGAGTATCACCAGAACCTAAAACTAATCAACTTAAAAGAATGGGGAGAAATGATAGAAAAAAAGGGAGGACAGTTGACAATAGGTGACTGGCAATAAAAAATAGTATTGTAGACATGATACTAAAGGAAAATGAATAGAACTATGATAAGACAATACATAGAATATTAACCTACAGATGATCTGTAGGTTAATGACATATTCATTTTGTATTTCAGAAAGTTGAGACCCAAGTGCTGATGTGCTTTGCCCAAGATATATCTCTATCCTTAACCAGTGAAGCAAGGGTTTTGCCCGTGTCATGTGCTGGCTAGGTTCATGGTAAATTCCCATACACAGCTAATCTACTTTGCATGGGAAGAATGTTCCTGGTGTTTGTAACGGCAGTTATATACATATGTGTAGAATGTTGGCTCAGGAACCAAACCACCGTGTACACTATGTTTTCTCAGGGAAAAGTGCACTTAGAGAGCAACAAACTAACAAATTTTTACAACACAACCCATTCATAAATTGCAGAGTGCTTGACTTTTCCTATGTACTTTCATTTTAAGTATTTTTAAAATTATTTTCACTTTAAAATATCCCTTAAAGTCGACAATGGCGGATATTCTTAATTTCCTTCTATGAATGTAAAGCATTTAAATGATTTTCCCATTAAAATGTCAGTGATAGTGCCCAGAATGAAACAGTTAGGTCTCTGCTGAGAAAAAGCCAGGGGGAAATAGGGCTTTCAGCAGAAAACACATCCTTCAGTAAGTGAAACACAGTTAAAACTACTGGACAGATACGTAACTATCAGGTCTCAATATTTTCCAAGAACAATGTATTTTGTTAAAATATTCTAAAATTCTATTTTCAAAGGACTGCGTAACAGTATGTACACTGTGAATCCTTTTGTAAAGATGCACATAAGGTGGGGTAAATAACACTTTCTTAAAAATTTATTGATACAAATCATAAATATAAATTGTATTCTGATAATATTTGTTAGCCATTTATAGGTACTTTTATGATTATCTGTTGTTCTACTTATAATATTGCTATGGTAGAGATTTGGAGAAATATAACAGACTCATAAAGTCTCTCTCTCTCTCTCTCACACACACACACACACACACACATACACACACACACAAAACCTGACTTCCGAAACTGTGTATCCTTCTGAGGTAGATAAAGCTTAAACTGAATCATTGCCTTTTGTTTTCTGATGCTGGTATGTCCTTTATTTTCTGGGATATAAAGCTGTGTGGGCTTGAATCATGGGATCAAAGTAGTGCTCTAGAAATACCAGTGCCAGTTCTCATCTGCTGGTTCCCACTGCTGTCCAGGAGCATCCCAGTCTGCTCTCCACTGCCAGGCCTACACCACTCATTCCTTTCCCTGGTAGAAGTTTCTCTAAGCCTGAAAACTATGAGACAACCAACTTGGAAGTAGCAAGGCACACAAGTGCAGGATTCAGGAAAGAATCAAATGCTGAGGCAGCTGGAGAAAGAGCTCCCAATATCGCTGGCAACATGAAGGGATACCTAAACTTACTATGAGTATGTGAATAATAGATACAGATGATTAGCTCTGGGTAAGAGTTCTGGGGTGGTTGTGGTGTTCATCCAGGGAGTAACACAGAGAATAAAAAAGAGAAAAGGAACAAGAGGAGTTTCACATCATTGCATACATGGTTAAAAAACATTTCTCCAAAATGTCACATATTTGCAATAAAACTATCCCTTTTCTAGATTCCAGAAACTCTTCATTTAAGAAACACTTGCCCACCATCCACACTGTACAAATACCTGTACACCAGTACAAAAGCATTTGGGTGGGAAAACAAAGGTGGATACAGTAGGGTCCATGTCCTCTAATAAATGCAAACTGTAGTTGGGGAAATGAAGACATGAGGTACATGGTGCTGTAGGTGGTGTGAGGTTCAGCCTTCTCAACGCCTTAGGGTTACTGTGTGGACCACTTTTAAAAGCCATCCGAGCAGTAGGGTGACTCCAACAGTGGAGCTGGAGGGTTTGCAAGGTGAGGAGCCTTAAACAATTGCTCAAGGGGACTTGGACATCATCTGAGTGTCTTCACGAACATACTTAAAGAATGAGGAAATCTTAACTACACAGTAAATACTCTAACTATAATTTATGTCATGACATATAAACTCTTCTCCTTGTACCTTTTTCATTCTTCGTTTTCCCTTATTATAGTCTTTCCTCCTATAAGACATTAAGGCCTTCAGAAATACTATGTGCTGCTACCCTCCCCTCATCTTAGCAATAGAAATCACTGGAGATCAACCAAGGCACTCTTTCTCAACGGCTCTAAGCTTAGCATCCCATCAGCCTAGCATCTAAGCAGCAACAACTGCAACTGGTTGGCCCAAACCTATCATTTCCAAACTCTCTGTGTAACAGTCATCTTTTCAACCACCCTTAAACGTAGCTGCTCAGTATAGACCTGAAATGCATGCAAAACTAAACAGAAAACTT